GGCTCAGCCTGTGAGAGGCATGATTACATGTGAGGATGCAGGAAGAAAAGATAAAGGAGTAGTTTAAATGTCATTTAGTCAGAATAAGAGAATATTTTATAGCATTGAGACTTCTCAGCCGGTAGGTGCTTGAGCTGACGTATGTCAGGTGCACAGTACAAATGCCACACAGAGCAGGCTAAGCCACCAGTAAGTAGTGGTTATTACTGTCAGTGTCGGATGACTCCATAACTTAATACATGTTAAGCACTTAGAACAAGGCCTGACAAAAAGTACTTAATAACCAACAGCTGTTGTTGTTGGTATTTAGAGAGAACCCACATCCTGATTTCTCCCATAAACTGAGTCCTATCCAGTGTTTCAGATACATATTGATTGTGTGCTTTCAGGGGAAGCTGGGAAGGAGGGAGAGTTGTAGAGGCGTAAAGTGTTTCGGAATGAAAAATGGTCATTAGCAGGTTATCTAAGACCGTCTGCTGCCAAAAAGCCACTAAAATTGATGACCATGCCAATATCCAGTCTCTAAAGGGGAGGAGGGTATTTTAAAATGAGTTTACGCAGACAAAGCTTTTAAGAAGTCATTCTCTCTTTTCTTTGTTAAGTGAAATGACGCTTCTAGCTTAAAATGAGGCATCTGAAACCCAAGAAAGGAGTGATGGAATTGTCAGGGAAGAAGGTTCCCATGGAAAACTCTTGTTGGTAGCAAGTCATTGGCATTGCAAGGCCCAGCTTTTAATGATAAATTTGCAATTTCAAAATATATTCCCTTTTTCAATTCAAGGGAACTAGGACTCAGAAAGCATGAAGGATTTGGGAAATAGGTCATACATTTGTCACAGACGCTGCTGCAGCGGGGAGAGGGCTCTACAGAAGCAATCTCAGAGTTAAAATGCAACTGTAAATTAATTTGTTTATTCAACACCTATTTTTTGAGGGCCAGATCATAAAAAGAATAAAGTCCCCTTGAAAGCCACAGGTGTCCTTCAGGTGTGCAGAGTATTACAGGCAGATTTACAACTGGACTGAGTAGGCCCAAGGAACCTTGCCACTTGTCAAATTACTTTTGATTTTCCCTTCAGCCCCAACAAGTAGTGCTGCTTTGGAATTGGGCTGAGTCTCGGGGCCCACACATACACATCATAGGGGTGGAGGTTTGTTGGGAACAGGCCTTAAGAGTTAAAGCTTCCAGGCAATTTCAGGGTGTGTTTTCTTTGAGCTCTGGAAGTCCGATTGTCTCAGAACAGGATATTGTACAAATAAGCAGATTTTCTTGGAGAGCTCATTATTTCAGAAGTGCTGTGAGCCAGATTGTTGCCTGAAGGTCTGAGCACAGTTGTTCTCAGCAGGGAGCAACTCTGCCCTCCTCAGATCCCTCTGCCTCTGTCCACTGAGCCCCCAGCTTGCCCAGAGGCACCACTCTTTGCTGTATTCCAGACTTTCTCAGGAACCTTTTCTCGGGGTGTAAAACCACCATCCACCACCCATCCATCAGTTTGTTTTACTATGTTGGCTTGTGCATTGCTATTATGTTGGAAGCTATGCCACCAGAATTTCAAATACCAACAGGGTCACCCATGGTGAACAGGTTTCAGTGGAGCTTCCAGATTAAGGTGAACTAAGAAGATCTACTTCTGAAAATTATTCAGTGAAAACCTTATGGATCACAACAATGATTGTCCAATATAGTGCTGGAAATGAGCCTCCTAGGTTGGAAGAGGCTACAGAATAGCTGCAACAATGGACTCAAACATACCAACTATTATGAAAAATGGTGCAGGACGAAGCATTGCTTCCTTTGGTTATACATAAGGTCGCCACGAGTCGAGGCCAACTCAGTGGCAACTAACAAAACAATGGCAACTCAACAGCAACAAAACCATCATCCTCATCTACCTGGCTTTAGGAGAACATCTTCCCTAGCCCTTCAGTTCAGCTCTGTGGCAGCTTCTGGGTGTTCACTGAGATGTATTCCCAGGATACATTTCTAAGCAAAGATGGGTGATGACAGCCATTCAGTCCTGAACTGAACAACTTGATTCACTCTGTCCTTATCTATTTATCAACAAATACTTATAAGAATTCTGCCTTTTGCTGAGTATATTCCAGATAGGATGAATATGATTTGTTCGTGGAATTAACATCTACTAAAAAACTAAGCCAGTTGTCGTCAAGTCAGTTCTGACTCATGGCGACCCCATGTGTTGAAGAGTAGAACTGCACTACATAGGGTTCTCAAAGCTGTGACCTTGCAGAAGCAGATCTCCAGGCCTTTCTTCCGAGGCTCCTCAGGGTGAGTTCAAACCACCAACCTTTTTGTTAGTAGTCAAGCACTTAATTATTTGCACCACCTAGGGGTTTCCTAACATCTACAGAGAGACAAATATGAGAACTTGCAAAGGCACAAAATGGAAAAGAGCAGGGCATGTTTAGATAGCAGTGAATTCCCATGCGTCTAGAGAGTAGGAGAGACCGGTCCCTCGAGTAGCACAAATCTGTGACTCTCGGCAGAACTTGTAGGCTGTATCATGTAGCAATGGGGAGACAGTGAACATCTTAAGCAGGAAATCAGTATAATAAGGTGATTACACATAGGATATTCTATGTGGCCACTGAATAATGTGTTATTGTTGCTGCCCCCCAGTGCTCTTTCAGCCAGGTAGTCCAGTAGAAGGCTTGTGGGATGGGAACCAAGGCTCCAAGCCTGTGTGTCTTGCCTGGAGCCATTTTACCTCTCTGAGCCCCATATGTAAAACAGAAATAACAACATTTATCTTACCTACCTAGCAGGGTTGTTTTGAGGAGCCAGTGAGATAATGAAGCTGAAAGAGCAATGAAAAAATTTTTTTTAAAATTATAATCAATAAGGTTTTTAGATAGTTTGGGCCAAATAATAGTATTATTTTTAATATGGTATCATTATTTGCATTACCACATCCATCCTTTATGAAATTATTCTTTTAGAGAAAAGGAAAAGGGAGGAAGTGGCAGAGCCAGGATGGCAGGACCTCGCCTGTCCCTGAACAGGATTCTTGTGAGACCAGGCCTTGGCCATGCAGGGAGCCCAGCAGCCTCGCCTGCCAGCTTCTTCTGTGTCAGTGAGCTGATAGATCTGCCCACAAACCGCGTTCAGCAGCCCGGAGGGGCCCCAGGAAGCACCTTGAATGCCGGGCTTCAGGGTTTCCCCACAGAGGTGGGACATCAGCTCCCCATTGTCTCTGGAGAATGGGAGTGGTTTCCAGGTGACTCATAGGAACAAAATGTAAAAAGGCCCAAGAAACAACTAGCATTCTTTGTAGCAAGCCAAGTGCCAGGTCCCATAGTGTGTTCTAACTTATCTCAGGATCAGAAAAGGAAATACAAAAAGCCTTGGTTTTATTGCTCTCGGACCAAGAGCATTTCTGCCCTTTTCTTTCTCTGTGAGAACATCTGTTCCATGTAGCTTGACTTAGGTAGTAAGTGAAATCACCACCCAAATTCAGGTTGCTAATGTTACTAGGAGGAGCCCTGGTGGCACAGCGGTTAAGCGCTCGGCTGCTAACAGAAAGGTCAGTGGTTGAAACCCACCAGCTGCTCCCTGGGAGAGAGATGTGGCAGTCTGCTTCCATAAAGATTTACAGCTGTGGGAACTCTATGGGGCAGTTCTTGTCTGTCCTATAGGGTCTATGAGTCAGAATCGACTCAACAGCAATGGGTTTGGGTTTGTTTTTTTTTGTTTGTTTGTAGGGGTAGGATTCAGTGTTGCTAGAAGGAGCTCTGGTGGCACAGTGGTTAAGCCTTCAGCTGCGAGCCAAACGGTCAGCAGTTCAAACCCACCAGCTGCTCCACAGGAGAGAGATGTGCCATTCTGCTTCCATAAAGATTTACAGCCTTGGAAACCCTATGGGGGAGTTCTACTCTGTTCTGTAGGGTCGCTATGAGTCGGAGTCTACTTGAAAGCAAGGAGTTTGGTTTAGTGTTGCTAGAGAGGCAAGATAGAGTAATGGTTGTGAGCCAGCTCTAGTAATGGTTAGAGTCAGATGTCTGTTTTCATCCCAGGTCCGCCAAGTACCAGGTTGGTGACTTCAGGTAAATTGCTTAACCTTTTGGTGCTTAAAGTCTATAAAATGGAGATAATAATAGTATCTATGTTATAGGCTGGTCATGAAGATTAAATTAATAAACATATGTGTTTAGCACAGTACCTGGAATAAAATAAACCCTCAGTAAATGTAGCTAATGTTATGTTAATAATATTCAGTACATATTAGCTTATCTGCTGCCCTTTTGGCTATTGTAACACATGATAAATCTCCTGTTATAGCCTTAACCAAAAGCTCCCTCTCTGTCCTGCCCACCCCCTGCTTCCGCATCTGTACTTGGGCAGATCGTCAGCCCTTTTCCCTCCCAGACACTTCACCCTCCTGGACTCTCACGAGATGGGATGGCCATTAATTCCAGAGTGCCATGGGAAGGATGCAGAAGGGTTCAGTAAAAGCCGTGACTTGTCCCCCAGCTTGGATCCTAGCTCGTAACTGTCCCTGGGCTCAGATTCATCCATTTCACACAAATAATAGTTATGCTCATGTTACAGGAGGTAGAAATCTTAACTGTAAAGTGCCTGGTATATAGGAGGCATATTGGGATGTTTAAGAGCATGAGACTTGAGAGTCAGACAGACAGACGTGGTTTCCAATCCTGGCCCCATTATTTACAGGTTGTATGACTTGGAGCAGCTTTCTTCACCTCTGTAAGCTTTGATTTTCTTCTCTTTGAGATGGGGATAATTGTAGCCCCTACCTCATAGGTTAAGTCAGCTAATGTGTATGAAGTGCTTAGCAAGCATTCAATAAATGCTACCCATTATATTATTATCAATTGAATGCCATGTTATGCCTGAAATCTTGAGCCAGGTTGTGCAAAAGGCAGTGCTATTAGCTCTGGCGCTCGGGAGAGAGAGACCAGAGGCGGTCTTTCTCACCGGGCCCAGAGTCGGCAGCGTCTCCTCTGACCTCTTCCCACAGGGCTCTATGTGCTGGTTGGAGCTGGGGCCCTGATGATGGCCGTGGGGTTCTTTGGGTGCTGTGGAGCCATGCGGGAGTCGCAGTGCGTGCTCGGATCAGTAAGTGGGGTCAGAGGGTGGCGGGGGTTAGGGGGGAGGAGCGGCAAGGGATTTGGTCTGAAGGGAGTCCGGACGTCTGGCCTCCAGCCCCAGCTCGTCCACAGACTCCCTGAGACCTTGGCAACTCACTCCCTCTCCCTGCGTCTCAGTTTCTCCATGTCTTGCATAAGAATAATATTACTTTTGTCCTTGTCTCATGTGGAAAGTGTGAAAATAAATGAGTCATTGGTGTGAAGATGTTTTGGGAGGAAAAATGCCTAAGAATTGTAAGGGGTTATTATGATTGTTGTTCAGAAAACAATATTTCATAGTGGGTGAGGCAGCAAAAGATTCCTGTAGCCAGGGAAGTGCTATTATCTACAAGAAAAGCACTTCTGTTTGAGATCAATAACTTAACCAAACATCCCTCTTGTGGCTTATTTTAATGAGCAGCCACTGTTAAAAAAAAAAAAAAAAACCCAAATAATTTCAGATAACTGCTACACCTCTAGTGAGGCCTAAGGAGAAACAAGGAGAAGAAAGGAGAGGGACAAGAGAAGAGAAACTTTTTGTGTTTCTCCGTGGGGAGTCAGAACAGCAATTTTATTAGGCAGCCTCTCATTGCTCATTGAAGTCTGGAGTTTTCAACTGTGGCTGCTTATTGTGATCTCTTGCTACGTAAAATCCCGAACTCATTTCCTCAGCCCTCTGTTATTTCTCTCTTTCCCCTGTTGCTGAGTGTGTCTCTGGTTATCACTGAACTCAGTTTGACCAGAGCAGACCCAAGACACCTGAACAGAGGGACATCCCCCTCATCTCCACTCCCGTTTCTGTTCCTAGAAGACCACCTCCTCCAAGAGGCCTTCTTTCTGGAACTTCCAGTTCTCCCCAGCCCAGGCCCCACCAGTCACTCCCCTATCTCCTGACCTTATTTTATATTCTTAATAGAACCTTTTTGTTCATCAAATGTTTATTGAGCACATAGGTGCCAGGCACTTTTCTAGGTGCTGGGATTTCTGTATCACTATCTGGAAATTATCGTATTCACTTTTTTATTAGCTTACTTAGCACGTCTTCCCTCCTCTACTATAAGTCCATGATAGCAGAGACATTGGGATCTTATCATGTTCACCACTATATACCCAGCTCCAAGGACAGTACCTGACACAGAGGAGCTGCTCAATAAACAGTTGCAGGATGAACGAATGAATGAATGAACTACAAGAATGTGACTAAGCTGTTACATAAAGGGGACTGAGGAGGCAAATACTTCCTGTGGATTGGTTCAAACTAACGACTGTGCTTAATGTTTTTCAAATGGAATTAGAATCAAAGAGCCTAATTAAATTGAAAAGGTATTGAATTAATGAAGTTAGTGTTTTCTCTCCTTTACAGTTTTTCACCTGCCTACTGGTGATATTTGCTGCTGAAGTAACCACTGGAGTATTTGCTTTTATAGGCAAGGGTGTAGTAAGTAAAAATGACTTACAGTGTTTTCTATATGATGGTTAAAGTATTCTCTTTATGGTGAAGGATATGAGAATATCAATACCCACAATAATATTAAGAAACCAAAAAATAAAAAAAATAAAGAAACCAAATAACCACCAAAATTCTAGTTTCAGCAGAATTTCTTGACCTAGACATAATGGACAGAAATGAGCATATGGGTCTATGAGTGTGCACACTTATGCACGTGCATATGTTTTTGGGGAGACAGCCCAATAGCTTTCATTAGATTTATAAAAGGGCCTATGATCCAAATAAATAAATAAGGATCTATGGTTTAAGATTAAGCCCAGTTTAAAATGGAGGTAGCGGTTATATTGGAGACATGGGAAAGAGGGATGGGGAAGAACATGCATTCTCATCCCTTGTTAGAGTTAGACTATCATTTGTCCTTAAGACCTGGCCTGGACAGAGGCTGTGTCGTCCTCAAAGAATAAAGCCTGACCTGCCGTGTGCTAAGTGGTTTACATTTGCTGCCTGAACATAGGTGTCCAGAATAGGTTATTAGGAGAACTCACGAGGAAGTGGCCTTCTTAGATGGGTAAAACACACTGGAAAAGAGGAATGAGATGGAAAAGGAGAAAGAATAGAATCTTAAGTTTACTGTATTTCAGATAAGCTCATGTGCCATCAATATTGTGTTTATAGTCTTATTTTAGATTAGAAAAAATGGTAAAAATATAAAATAAGTAAAGATCACCTCCTTTGGAATTTTTCTTAAGTGGCTAGTTATATTTGTAGGTTAGTTTAAATTCAACTCCATATAGAAGTAGAATTGGATCTTATGACTTTTTGAGATCTTCGTGGATTTGAGGGTCATAGGCCTTTACACTATAAAAGGCATTTAATAAGCTTTATATGATATTTCAGTGTAGAAACATCTTTCCGTAGTGATGAACACCTTTTAAACTATGTCATGAAAGAACTTGAGTACTTTTAACCAGTGGAGTATCAACAAGGCATAGGACCCAAACTTGGTTGTACATCAGAATTACCTGGGGGAGGGGGCAGGAATCTGGGGCCCAGTTAATGCTGATGCCAAATCAGGTTTGGGAACCTCCATTCTTTAAGAAATTTCTCAAGTCCATGAGTGTTTGTTCTTACCTAGTTTAGTCTTCCATCCTCAAAAGCATCTTAGATACTCCAGAAAATAACCTCTTCCATATATGCAGAACCATCTTAACTGCCCCATAGGGTTTCCAAGGATCCGCTGGTGTATTTGAACTGCCAAACTTTTGGTTAGCAGCCAAGCTGTTAACCACTGCGCCATCTTAAAATACAGATAAACATATGGGAAGACAGTATTTTTAAAGGGTGTAGAAGAAGAGATTCTCCTTGACAAATGAGAACATTTAAAATTTCCCATTCATTGTCCCCTCCATTTACCTGGTATTTTTTCAGGCTATACGACATGTTCAGACCATGTATGAAGAGGCTTATAATGATTACCTTAAAGACAGGGGAAAGGGAAATGGGACACTCGTTACCTTCCACTCAACAGTAAGTAGCTATACTTCTTTCTTAAAATTACATCTTGTTCTAAAGATTATGCATGAGCCGGGTTCTCTCTAATCAGTTTGATTAAGAATACAAGTAAATCCAGTGAAGCCAAGCAGCACCTCATATTTTAGCCCTTATGAGCGCCATAGTATACATTAGGTGCAGAACCCTAGCAGAGAAAGAGGCCCTACACACAGAGGTCACAAGAGGAAATCAGGATATGTGCCCAAAACAGATAAAAAAGCAGAAACAAGAACACAGAGAAAGCAGCCTAAATAAATATGCTAAAAATATTCAAAACTCCACAAAATTTCAGCACAAGATTTATACTCAGCAGTTCTTATAGGTATGTAGGGAGATCATTTTGATTCCAGGAAAAGCAAATGGCTTGAAGAAACTAGGTGCAATGAGACAATAAGAGGAGGGAGAAATATAGAAGATCAACCATTGACTAATCTTAACATGATTGATTTAATCCTGCCCTCCCCCTTTTACTGAGATCAACTGGTATCTGGCCGCAAGATGGTCCCTGGCCCTCCACCCAACCATATCTTTTGGCTTGGCTTCTAACAGGAAAGAAAGGATTTGCAACTTTGAGTGAAAGAAAAGCCACTGATGGATTAATTTTGGTCAGGGATTTCTTTAAAGTCAGTATTTGGTTTCGTGGGTAAGAAAACCCCAAAATCAAAGCAAGATATCTGCTATAGATTTCTCTCTTTGACAAATGTCAGGTTCTCTAGGGTAGCAGTGTGGTTTAATAGAAACAACAGTGCCTTCAAGTCAGAAAAGCTCATTTCCAGAGGTGGCTCTGCTACTTAACAGTTTTGTGACCTCAAGCTGGTTACTTAGCCTCCCTGATACTCACTCAGCTTCCTGCTTTGTAAAATGAAGGGTCGTATGAGATATCCATGCTCCCTTTCTTCTCTGACATTCTGTGGGAATATGCTGTTGGTAGAGTTTTTAGTGGTCAGAGCTCTACACGGTTAGTCAAGGAAGGCTTTGCAGAGGAGATGGGCAAGGCCAAGGTCAGACTTGCTTCTTAAACACTGTGATACGGAGAAGTAGTTATGAACTCCTGGGCTGAGTGTTTTCAGGTATCCCAGTTCTTCTTTGTGACAAGAATGTCTTGGAAGGGCCACCAAATTAGCTGCCAAGCATTTATAATGTTTTGCCTCAGCTGCCCCAAGTGCATCAAGCTACACACAGGTTCCTTTGTGTTTCAAGGGCCATTCCCAAAGCATGACACCTGTTTGCTGGCCAGTCTTCAAGCTCTGGTCTCCTGGCCCCTGGGGCTTAGTGTGGCCACTTCTGCTTCCCAGACTGTCGCCAGTTAATGTGCCCTTCCTGAAGCTCATAAAACTTTAGCTACCCAGCAGGTTAAATTGCTCCCAGTTGGAAAGAAAGGATCTAAAGGCCCCACTTCCTGCCTAAAAAGCAGCAGTTTACACAGACACTATCAATTAGCTTCCTACCTTGTTGGGGTTGCCTTGAGTCACTTCCTATCATAAAATTCAGACAACTTTAGAGAGGTCATTTTCTTATTTTGCCAGCACAATTATTATGTGATTCTTCACTCTCTTTCCAGAAATGCTGGTTTGTGTTGCAGTGACTGGGCTTCATGGCCACCTTGTTACCTCAGCCACCCTAGTCATTAGCACTGATCCCCAGACTTGTAGCTGCTGCTTCTTCCTCTCAGGTCCTAAACTGTCTTTTCTGACTCTAGTTTCAGTGCTGTGGAAAAGAAAGCTCTGAACAGGTCCAACCCACGTGCCCAAAGGAGCTTCTAGGACACAAGGTTAGTTCCTCTGTCAGCGACCTATCCTACCTGTAGTGTAAAATGGTACTTGCCCTTGGAGGAGGAGGGAGGGAGGCTCGGGTCCTATGTCTGGGATTCTAGGAGGCTTTCTCCCAGGAACTTCTGTGCCTCGGCCTTATTTATGTAAAATAAGCAAAGTAATGCTGAGTCACAGTCTCCAAGTACCCTAGGGGATGATGGTGCACTGACTTGCCAGTAATGATGCAAAGTGTTTCTGGCATTAATTAAACTCCCCAGGGCTGGAGGTGTGCACGCTGAGAAAGTTGCCCGACACTGCTCCATCTGCTCCATGGGAGTCACAGCACTGATAAACGCTTTGCTTGTTCATTGCTGTGTGTGAGGCACTATGCTAGGTTCTGGGAACTTCAAGATGCGAAAGTCATGAGGTCTCTGCCCTCAGCAGCCTCACAGACTAGTCAAGGGAGATGGTGATATGACAGAAGTCTGTACTGGGTACCCTGGAGACACAGTGGAATTAAGAAAGGCTTTATACAGGAGGGGATCCTTGAGCTCAGTTTTGACAAAGGAAGGTCATGCCAGGCCCAGAAAGCAGCAGAAACAGAAGCAGGGTGGTATGAAACTCCAGGATTGCAGTAATATAAGGAATTCAAAGGGAATAGTGAGTGATGTTTTTAGAGAGGCAGGCAAAGGCATGATTTTATACCTGGAAGTTTGGGGGAGCTATTACTTTCAGCAGAGGATTAAAATAATCAGTTTTGCATGTTAGAAAGAATACTTAGGCTGCTGGTGGCACAATTGTTAAGAGCTTGGCTGCTAACCAAAAGGTCAGCAGTTGGAACCTACCAGTGGCTCCATGGGAGAAAGACCTGGCAATCTGCTCCCATAAATAACACCCCCCGGGAAACCGTATGGGGTAATTCTGCCCTGTCATATAGCATCATATAGTGTGAAACGTGGAATGGAAGGTTGGAGACTTAAAGGAGGGAAACTACTTAGGTGACACTTGTGGTCACCCTGGTAAAAGAAGCTCAGGGGCTAAAGCAGGCCACAAACTGTAGGGATGGAGAGGAAGCAATAGATTCAAGAGCTGTTCAGGAAGTAGAATCAACAGGCCTGTGTGACTTATTGGGTGTAAGCAGGGAGGGAAAGGCTGAGATTTCCAGATTTCTGCTTGGGTCACTGGGCTGGTAGAGGTTCCACTCGCTGAGAGAGGCAAATATAGGAAAAGGTGCAGATGCCGGGGACAGATGACAATTTCACTTTTGGCCAAGTTTATACTTTAGGTGCCTGCGGGACTTACAGGTAGTCTGAGCTGAAGACACAGGTGTAGGAATCCCTAGCATATTGGTGGTAGTTGAAGGCATAGGAGTGGATGAGAACACCCAGGGAGCATGAGTAGAATAAGGAAAGAGATGGGCTGAGGACACTGTCATTTAAGGCGAAGGCCAGGGACAAGAAGTCAGTGCAAGACAATGGAATACCACTCAGCCAGTAGGAGAAATGAAGTCTTGATACATGCTGTAATACGAATGGAGCTTGAAAACATTATGCTGGGTGAGAAGTCAATCACAAAAGTATAAATATTGTATGACCTCACTTATATAAAAAGACAAGAAAAAGCAAATGTAGTAAGACCGAAGTTTATTAGTGGTTCCCAGCGGCCAGAGGGAGGGGAAAGGTTAGAGGGGTTAATGGTAATGGAAAAACCTCTTTGACTAAGGTAGGGTTGCACGGCCAATTATTGTAATTGCTGTCAATAAGTTGGACACCTGTAAAACGTTGAATTGGCAAAAGTTGTGTGATAGATATATTTACAGCAATAACAACAACAAAAAGAATAGCAGCTGAGGCTGCGTATATACAACTGAAACACCTCATGGGATTTGTTTCCTTGGTGTGGAGGTTTAGGGTCATGGTTTCATGGGATATCCTAGTTAATTGACCTAATAACATGTTCAGTGCTTCTGTTCAACCTCCTATTTGCATAGTGCCAGGGGTCTTAAATGCTTGCCAGTGGCCATAGAAGGCACAACAGTTGGCCTCTGTTCACCTAGAACAACAGGAAGGAGAATCAGGAATAGGAGGAGGATATGGAATGTGTGGCTACTTGCCTCCGTGAACAACTGTATCATTTGCCATAAGACTAGAACTGGATGGTGCCCGGCTACCATTACTGAACGTTTTGATCAAAGATTCTATAGAAGAATCCTGATAAAAAGGGGGAGAATGCAGAACATAATTTCAAATTCTCATGGACTCCAGACTTTCTGGAGCCACTGAGAATGGATGAACTCCTGAAACTATTGCTCTGAGATAATCTTTAAACCGCAAACCAAAAATATCCCCTGAAGCCTTTTTAAAACCAAACAAGAGTTTAGCTTAACTAATAAATTATGTCTGCTTTGAGCATTATGCTTTTTTAAGAACTGTCTATATGGGATCAAAGTGACAACAGCAACTAAAAAGATCAGACAGAAACCTTAGGGGTAGTAAGTTTATGTTAATGGGGGAGGAACAGCTCAGAAAAGGAGGGTGAGAATGGATGCACAACTCAAAGAATGTAATCAACGTCACTGAATTGTAAATGTAAAAATGGTTGAAGTAGTGTATGTTTTGCTGTGTGTATACTCAACAGGAACAACAATAAAATTCTGCTAGAACTAAGTGAAAAAAAAAAAAAAAGCCAATGCAAGAGATAGTGAAGGAAGGAGTCAAAGAGTCAGGGGAGAGTCCAAAGACAGTGGCCTGAAAGAAGCCAGGGGAGGAGATGGTTGTCCATAAAGTCAAATGCTGGGATGAGTACAAGTAAATGAAGGCTGAGAATAGTTTTGCATTTGGTGCTTAGAAGATTATTAGTGACCTTTGCCAGACAGATCAGTGAAGTGATTGGGGAATACACAAGTACAGTGGGGGAAAGAAGGAAATATGGGAATGTGGGAACAGTGATAGAGATGCTTTCGGCATTTGGCTATGAAGGGATAGATGAGATTTTAGTTCCAGCTTGTGTCATGAACCATCGACTGAATGATTATTGAGTCCTTCTGAGGCTTCTGAAATTAATAACACACCACTACTGCCCTCAAGGTGCCCACCATCTGGCTGGGGAGACAGGCAAGCAAGCCACACGGGGTGAGCAAAGGCTACACTGGAGGCATGTCAGACTCAGCCAGATGCGTGAGAGTCGAGGGGGTCACGGGAGGCTTTCCTGATGTGGTTCTTAGGATGAATTTTGAAGGATGAATAAGAGTCCAGTCAGCAAACAAAAGTGGATGGAGTATTCCAGGCAGAGGGGACAGGCAAAGACAGGCAAGAGAAGGTAGGTGTATTCAGGTAAATGCAGGTAGCGAGAGTGGCTGAAAGTCCAGGGTACCTGTGGGAGCAAATACTTTGAAGAGGAGGGGAACAGTCTTTGAAGCACTTGAATACTCTTGTGAAACCAAGAGTTTAGACTTCACACTGCAAGCTTGAGAAGGCGTTGAAGGTAGAATCTGAAGTGAGAAGGGGACATGATCACATTTGCATTTTAGTGAGGTTGCTCTAGTTGCAGCCTGGTAGATTGATGGGAAATGAATAACCTGGGGCTGAGGAGACCAGCTGGGAAGGCTGCTATCATTGTCAGCCAAGAGACGTTAACTGGTAACCAGATGGACTGAGTGGCAGGAATGGAGAGGAGAAAATCATTTAGAAAGTAAAATCTACAGAACCTGGTAACCAGCTAGGTATGAGAGAAGACAGGAGAATCTACTGGCTTCAGTACCTGGATACATGATGGCATCATTTGCTGAGTTGAGGAATGGAGGCGAAGAAGCAAATTTTGGAGAAAAGAAAATGAGTTTAGTGTTACACATGCTAATTTTGAGGAGTAAGTGGAACTTCCTAGTGAAAATGTCCAGTAGGCAGTTAGAAAATCTAGTACGTGACTCAGGAGAGAGGTTTGGATGTCTGTATTTTATGGTAATCTTGAAGCTGTAAGTGTACATTTGATCCATTAGGTCTGGAAGAAACTGACAAGAAACAACATTTAAGGGTGAGTAGAGGAAGGGTTTCCAAATAAGCCTACTGGAGAGGAGCAACCAGACAGATGTAAGGAGACCCTAGGGAGTATGCTGTGGGCACTGTGGAAGGAGGGAATGGCCACCAGTGTCAGGTGCTGTTTTTGAGGTCATTTCAGCATTTACTGACCACCTACCATATGTGTATACAAAGATGAGTTACACAAAGTGCCTACTCTGAAGGAACTTGCAGTCTGATTGAAGGGAGGAACA